CACTTATTCTTGTATAAACGTATTGCATTATATATTTGCATTATCAATTTATTTTTCCACTTATTCATGTATAAACGTATTGAATTATATATTATTTGCATTATTTTCAATTTATTTTTTCCACTTATTCATGTATAAAAATTTTATATTTATAATTGTAAAAAAAAATACAAATAAATATGTTAACAATAAAGCATTTATTTTATAATAGTTTATCCTGTGCTTAGTTTTTTTATATGCTAACGTCACGATTATGTCTTGAGCTTTGCTGGAAAAACTGCTACAAAAAATTAAAATGTAAAAAAATGCACTATTTTATAAAATATATATTTTAAAACATTTTATATAAAACTTTGTTTTTTCATCACAAATTATTTACATTCATTAGGCTTATCATACAGAAAAAAAATCGCAACGGATCACGTGACACGCACAGCTGTGCTGTGTTTATAAATACCTGACCTTGAGATCAGCTGACTGTTGACGATCGCGGGAAGTTTCCAAACACACCTCAGGGGAAGATGGGTTTCTAGTGACGTATGTAGTAGTTACCGTAAATACTCAAATATATCAATTATTTTTCGAACATATCTACGATTTCTATGAGTGGGGACCGAAAAAATGTTCAATAACATAAACTACTATTGGATATAAATAAATAAAATTTTATGCCGTCATCAACAACATCCAATAGAATGTAAAAATGCTTCGCTCGAGTCAGACTCGAGCGTGGACATTTTAGAAAATATTGATGACGTGTTGCTCGAGTGACACTCGAGCGTGGATCTTACGTCACGTATTTGTTGCTCGAGTCAGACTCGAGCGCGGCTCAGAAGGGGTCTCTCATTACTTTATTACGAGGAAATAAATTTTGCATTATCAATATAACACTTATATTTTTATGATGGGATTGAACGATAAATAATTCGGCAATTTTTTCGGTTAAAGAATGCATTAAATCGTCTATAATTATTAAATCCAAATTTTCGATATTTTCAGGAATACCACATTTAAAATGAATATTTTTCTCTTCCACGAACCACGGCTGAAACATTGAATAACACCACATAACTCTTTCTAACGGTTTTTCGTAGATATTTTCACACAACATTTTCCGAACTAAAGAAGTTTTTCCAGATTGAGACGGACTGACGACAATACAACTTGACGGATGTTTTAAATGCATTTCGTACAAAGTAAGTTAAATTCCTTCTTTAATAATTGCACACCTATATATTTATGAGGTAGTCCTTCGCTCATGAATTTTCGAATATCATATACAACTCTTCCAGAATTCTTACATTTATGTAAATAAACATTTCTATCTAAATGTAAAGAATATTCGCAAGTAGTATTTTTTATATCAATTTCCTTAAAATCCGATCTAGATAATAAAACTGAAAAACCAATCGTTAACGCAAATAATTCTAAACAGGTTATAATAGCGAAAGCGATTAATATATTATGAGACATGATGTAAAAATAAAGTTTAAAACCAAAATCATTGCGTATTAAAATAACACAAAACGATTAGTGCGCATGAGCGAAAAACATAATAAAACCTAGATCGCGAATTCAAAAATTAATTCATTAGAAAAATGGGAGAATCAAGTACATGCATGTCGTCGTTCGGTTGGAGAGCATTTTTTCCAATCAACGAAAAATTATTAGTTCCCTATGCTTTCTCTAGAGGTAGCTTCTCAAGCATCGAATTGGCAGAACACTCGGCTAAATCGCAAAACTTTCCACCATCCATTAAAATTCTATATTGCGTGGATTACGTACCACAGTTTATACCCAAGGTGAAACATTTCCAATGGCTGCTTACATCGAAGGAATCTTATCATCATCAAAGCTTGGAAATTCTATCAGAATCTAGCAAAACATTTAACAATTTTGAAGAATGTTTCATCGATTCGGAAAAACATAATCCTCATTGGGGACCTGAAAATAATATTCTGAAAATGTATTTTGAGTATAAAAGTGAAAACCAATAAATATTTTTTTTTTTTTAAATTTTGTGTCTTGTTTTATTTAATAATATTTTTACTTTCATTTAACTAAAACCGGTTTATTAGAAGGAAAAAAAAAGCGATTGCGTAATTAACTCGATTACGTCATTTTTAAAGTTCATCGACCTGAAACGAGTGAAAACAAAACCAAAACCAAGTGATTGCGTCATAAAAAAAATTATATAAAAGCGAGACAAACAATAAAACTAATCATTATTCGTATTACTATCGAACGAAGAAGGACTATTTTCACATCATAATGAACGGAAAAAACATAGACATGTTAGTTCGCGAAGTAGGCCCGAGTTTTGATTGGAAAGATTTTTCTAGATTAAATTTAAGTGAAGAAGTAATAAGACGACTTGCAGATAAGGTCGATTGGGACATTATTTCTGAAAAAACTAATCTTAGTGACGAATTTATTAGAGATTTCCAACATAAATTAAATTGGAATAAAATTTGGAAAAGCAAACGCTTCTCCTCCGATTTTATACAAAGATATGTTCAACGAGTTAATTGGGATGATGTTTGTCGTTATCAACAGTTATCAGAACCCTTTTTGACTCAATATCACGATCGTCTAAATTGGGATCTCAATATCAAAGACTGAGTGAAAATTTCATATTAACTTTTAAACATTTCCTCAATATGAAGCTTATTTGTAAATATCAACAATTGCACGAAGAAATTATTAGAGAACTTGAAAACATTATGGATTGGGACCTTATTTCGAAGCATCAAGAATTATCCGAAAAATTTATGGAAGATTACAAGCATAAACTTAATTGGTGTATCGTCATTGCTAATCAGAAACATTTATCAAACAAATTTGTATCGAATAATTATCATTTTACTTTGGTTTATGTTTTATCGAAAATATGCGAAAAGTTATAATTTTTTTCTAAAATAATTTTAACATAAACTTTATTTTTTAAATATAATTAATAAAATTTATATGCTTATGTTTTTGTATAATCTTCAAATTAATAAATCATTGTAACCCCTATTCTTTATTCAAAAAAAAGAGAGAGAGAGAGAGAGAGAGAGAGAGAGAGAAAGTCTTCGTGTCATTTATTTAATCACCATCGCGACATAAAAAAAAAAAACTAGAAAGAGTATATTAAACACAATGAATGCCGTAAAAAAGTCAATAAATATCGAAATAGCAAATAGCATGATCCGATTAGCGACGGTACATGTTATTTGTTATTTCTTTTAACATCTAATTTCGAAAATATATTAAAATATTTAAAAAAATGTTATTTAATATATTTCTTACCAGATGGCACCACTCACATTTAAAAAAAAAATGATAATCGTTGTGTTAATGTTAATAAATAAAATATTAGTTCACTTATACAAAATAATAGTTCTCTTATATAAAGAAAAAAAAATTAAAATATATATAGAATCGTTAAAAAAATGTTTGTACTTATTATTAAAATTAAGGAATCCAAGAATTGTTTTTTGAAGCATTGCATCTGTACTACCGTTTACAATATCCTTAGTCTTGCCGCGTACAATCTCGTCACAATTATTTTTAGTCTCGTCTAAACGTTCTCTTATAACGGAGCGATTTATTCCAGAAACTCTCATTCAAATCTTGCGGAAAAGTATAACCGAAGGGGCATCGAAAATGGGTGTGATTTCTACTCCTATGAGAGTTTCTGGGATAGTAATTATCTCGGAATCGCTCGAGAGATTCTGCAATTTTGCTCGATTTTAGCCCCTGCTCGACGTCTTTCCCTCAAAATGTTGAGAGTTTCTGGGATAAAAGTTATAAACCTCGCGAAGTTTACCAAATTATCCCAGAGTCTCTCATACATATACTACTTATATCTTAAGTTGTCTTTTATATAATAATCATCTCTAACTATTATTTTATTCTTGTTTAACTTTTCCTGTTTAATCCTAATCTGTAGATATTTCCTTCTTAACCTCGATCGTCTGCATAGATCGGCTGTAAATATTATTTTTTCTTTGTCCTTGCCAATTAAGTTTGATTTCGACTGCCAAAATTCTCTAAGAATCTCATTTCTTGCATTAACAGAATCAAGAATTATTTTGACAATAGGTTTATTTTCTCTATTATTTAATTTGATTAGTCCTTCTATTTCATTATTTTTTAATCTTAAATCATTATTTATGAATAACTTAATTTCTTGCAAGTAATCTAGTGATTTGAATGGGTAGTTCATAATGATTATATTCTTTTTAGTTTTCTTGTTTACCAGTTTATCAATTTCAAATTCCAACATACCTTTAAGATGATTATTATTTTTTGATTTTTCGTCCAGTTCTTGTAGCTTTTGATTGATTCCTTTCATATGTGAGATCCGAATAGTCCCTGGGTCTAATTAACAATTTAAGTATAAAGTTAAAAATTATGAAGTAAAATATTCTTTTATTTTGGGTGTGAAAATATCATTTTCTAACATGGGAAAGCTGATAAAAGAGTCACTTCCTTTAACGGAAGTAGACACATCCTTTTTGTTTTTTATTTATCTATTACAAAATCTCACCACCCTGGGAATTGTCATCCCCTCAATAATCCCCCCATGAGAGAATACAAAAATGCTGATTGGTCACAAATCAGGAGATATAGTCAAAAATCTACATGATTCGGGGAATACGTCAGAAGATCTCATAGAGGAGAGACATAGTCCATACAGTCTCCCTAAGGCCGACGCCCTTAGTCATATCAAATTGAGTATAAAAAATGAGCTAATTTAGGAGAAAAGAAGAATCTTTTAATAATGTGACAAATCCAGACCTCTCCATGAAATGAGGTATGATCATAGAATACAGATGAAGATAAAGACAAAGCACACTTTGAGGTAGTATGATTATCAATGAATTTGTGAGCTCTCTCTCTCTTGTGTATATTTTAATTGAATCCATACTCTCTCTCAATTGGAAATATTTAATTATTGAACATTTCAATTTTGTGAAATTTTGTTTACTTTTGTTTGATTAAATTCTTTTATTATTTGTTAAAAGATGTCTCTCAATTATCTGAATCAAATCCATAAGATATCCACACTTTTTAAAATACAATTTTAGAATACGCGGATTAACGTGTGGTTTAAATTTAAACTGGTGTTGGGAATTCTGACGTAGGAACAAAGAATTGTGAAATCCGTTAGTTCTGCCTTAGATATATTCAAACTGTAAGTCCCTCTGCCCTCAAATTTCCTCAAATTAGGAAAAGCCATTCTTTTTGACGACCCGAGAACTAGTTTCACCAACTAGCCACCGAATAAGTGGTACCAACAATCCTAGAGGAAAGGTATCCCCGGCTAATCTCACACATTTCTTCTTTGTAATTCTTGTTCACTTCTTTCAATATGTTTATTTCAGATTTAATTGATTGAATCCCAATATTTAGCTGACTAAATTTATCCTGAATTAGATCATAGGTGGATTTTAATGTATATTGAGTTCGTCAATTACTTGTGATTCTGGTTCACTTACTGGTTCGAAGTACTCATAAATTTTCGGACTCTTCGTAGATTCAGAGAGTTGTTTACTATTTCCATCTATTTGATAATATTCATCACTTAACATTTCTGCTAGTTGATTTTTTTTCTCCTCATCCTTTGGACTTACCTTGCGAGGTCTGCCACGCCCCCTTTTTTGCATTTCCAATTGACTTAATCCTTGTGAGAAATGGGCAGAGGGCCTGGGTTGGATTCAACTCNTCTGGTTCACTTACTGGTTCGAAGTACTCATAAATTTTCGGACTCTTCGTAGATTCAGAGAGTTGTTTACTATTTCCATCTATTTGATAATATTCATCACTTAACATTTCTGCTAGTTGATTTTTTTTCTCCTCATCCTTTGGACTTACCTTGCGAGGTCTGCCACGCCCCCTTTTTTGCATTTCCAATTGACTTAATCCTTGTGAGAAATGGGCAGAGGGCCTGGGTTGGATTCAACTCCAGCAATTATTAATAGTATTATAATTAAATCCAAGGATAACCTGTTAGCAAATTTCCAAATTTTTACACAAGTCATTTTTCCTTTCTTTATTATCGCTTTCATGCTCTAGTTCAGTGTTTTTCAACCTTCTTGAATACGCAACCCCTTTACAAGTTAAAAAATTCCGGCGACCCCCCTAGGGCCATATTAAAACTATATCAGTGATTTTAAAAACTATGTATTTAATTTTCTTTCTGTTGAGA